ATGTGAGTTAGAGATTAAACTTCCAAACATAACCCAGAGATATATCTTTGATTTTCGTTGGCAAATCACGTCGTATCAGCGTGTGGCCCTTGCTTTAGTATGAGCAAACTGTACCAGTAGACGAAAGCACCAACGCAAATCCGTCGCCAGGAGTTAACAATCCTTCCGTTTACTAATTTTCACTTTTCGTATGTATGTTCTTTACCGAGCCTCAAGAAAAGTCACACCTAATATGAGAAGCGTGCTGTCAGCTAAAGCCATATAACATGGCCATAGCGAAGAATTAAAATTCTCTCTGATACATGGGTATTGCATGCGGCTAAGAAACCAAATTTCTGGGAAGATTGACCCCATGTGGCAATCGGCCAAGGGGGATAATGTTAGTAATTTTGGCCGCAGCTTTTGTGCTGATCATTAAATCATATGCATTGGCAGCTTTTGTTCCTAAAAATCAATTTTTAAAAAATTATTGATTTATAATTGAGCCCAATAATAAGTTCACAATTTTTTTGAGAATAAAGAGTGAATGATGACTCTTATTTATAAGCAATTTTTCCTTCCAATTTTTTTGACTTCATCAATGTGGGACAAAATTTCATACAATACTTTAAAAAAAATGGTTTTTTCGCTGCCCTTTAAAAATGTTAGTTATATGGACTGCTCTTAAGCCCTTGCTTCATGGGCTTTAGCCCAGAGCCGGCCCTAGAGAGAGTCACCGAGATTTTTACCATCTCAAAAACCTTAAAATGCAATCAGAGGCAAAGCTTTGTTGGAATCTTTACCTCAGGAGCTTTAGAAATCGGGATGTTACAGTTTTGATCTCTATCAATTTTGGGAAGACTTTTACTACAAACGTAGCTCCTTAGATTCTATAGCAAAAACCATCAAGACGTTGAAGCTCTTCGTCTCTGGAGCTAAGATCAACCAACTCATTTTGAAGTCCTATGTATGTACGCCGTTTAGAATATGGCTAAGTCTTTGTTGGCTGCAGAACGCTCCTCCATCCTCTTTAGCAACATCATCTTGAACTGCTTTCAGTGCTAACAATTTGTTTCTCATGAGTCATGACCGGAACATTCTCCTTTAGCTCACTTATAAGTTTGGTGATAGACTCCGAGTCCCAATGGCTTTTATGTGAAGGAAGAAGAGAATTAAGAGTAGAGGAGTCGGGAGAGAGCAGAAGGTGGTTGAAAGTGGCTTAAGTGTCGAACAAGGGTTTACGTAAGAATGATGATTTAATACACTAAATTGTTCTCAATACTATGTGGTTTAATTTCAAGTATACTTATGAGTGTGTATTTAAGGCTACATTCCCATTTTAGGGTTCCTTATCTAATGAAATAGATTATCCAAAACACTCTAACCTCACTCTCTTCTTATTCTTCTCTTCCCTCTACAAAATATAGGCTTGATCTAACATTTTGCTTTTCCTCATCTTTTTTTTTTTGACAAAAAAACTCATGTTGTTTCTTTCGTTTAGAACCAATAGCTTGTTTTTTCTCCTATTATATAGTTAAACAATTTTTTTTCAGGCACTATATTGTTCAAATATCTTTGATTTCTCATATTTTACTTAACCAAATAATTTATTTTGGTAATACTATTGAATAATTTATGAAAGTAGATATAAGCGTATTATATAAAACATGACATAATTTTCATAGCTAGGTTCATGATAACACCGTATTTTGACCACTTTTATGGATCGTTTTGAAATACTTATTCTATGTTTTTTTATTGCTTTCAAGTAATTTTATTACATTTTTGTAGTATTTGTAGTCTCAAGACTCTTTTCAGGAAACTTAGGGAAAAACTTAACAAAATGGATAGAAGACCAGATTTTCAGCTCAGAGTCAAACTAGCAGAAGTTTACCCCCGATTGAAGACCTTCTCACCGTTTGAATTGGCTCAAATTTGGAGATCTCAAAGATGGAAGTATCAGCTTTCCAGCACACTTTACAGCTTGGTAATCCAACGGTTCAATCAAAAGATACGTGAAGAGCAAGATGTCCCGTAAACCAGCTGGCAAGCGTTTCCACCCGCGGCCAACAGCCATTTCACCACGGTCAGAGGCTTCCCGACCACGGCCAACCATCCATTCCCCGCGGTCACGCACTTCCCGACCGCGGACAGCCAACTCCGAACTCGAAGGCCCATTTCTGAAGCCCAAAATGATTCCCTCATTTGGAGAAACCCTAAGTGATACCCAGAGATGTCTTTAGCACTATAAATACATGTCTTAGGAACCCCAATTCGAATAATCACCTTTTACACCATCTTGTTTTCTTATTGTTTTTATACTTTAGCCTTTAGGGAGAGAGAGATCTATCTATTGAACCCTTGTTCTTTCTTTTTCAATTTTGATTTCTGTCCTACTTTTCAATACTATGTTTTTGATTTCATTCATCATGTCTGAGTAGTTTTATTGTTGGGTCTAAGGGATTTTTGATGGGGATACATATGTTCGATGAGGATTCCATGAGCTATCGAAACCGAATCTTAGAACTTTTTCTTCTGAATTTATTTTTACTGCATGAGAGTAGCGTCATGAACTACAATCTGATCTGGTGTCAGATCTAGTTTGGGAGAGCAAAACAAACATAGGAATGCAAACCAACCTATGGGCGATTTGTGAATGCTGACGAATCTTAAACATAATGCATCTTTTCTCTTCCAGGGCCAGAGTGGAAACCTACTGGTCAGGGTTGAGAGAGATAGTTGTCTATGATCACGACAGTGGCGTATTCATACATGCGTGACTCTAGGTAGAAAAGTTTAAGCTAAGATCTTAATTTACTCTCTAACAATGTTTTGAATCGTTCATACCCCATAGAAAACTTCCCTGAAGCCCAGCGCCTTCTTTTCTATAGATTTACATCGATTTTATTTCAAGCTTTAGTTCATCATTTTTACTCTTTCAATCGATTTTCATTTAAGCAATTAGGTTTAGCTGTTTTTCTCGTTTTTAGTAGATTTCATTAAGTTTAGTTATCAGGTCATTTTTAATTCCTGTATTTTCTCGTTAAGATTAGTTTTTACGTTTTAAAGATACCAGCAAAACCCCTACAAAAATCGCCTGGTTCAAGACTTCCTTACTTTATATTTCTTTTGAAAGCTTTTGCGAGAAAGATCCTCTTTTCCTTTGGATTCGATCTCTAAGTACTACAATCGATCAGCTGTGCACTTGCGGTTATTGATTTCATTTAGGGCAATACTGGACACCCTCACCAGCGACACATCAACTTATACATGTTGTACATATATATGCATATACATAACATTATTGATTATATATTATGCGAGAGACAAAGAGATATGAAGCAAAACCTAGCTTCTGAAAACCCTAGAAAACTATACAATAAAAAAAAGATTTGACTTACTTTTCCTATTTTGTTTTGACACAGAAAAAAACATTGCATTGCTTAATCTGTCTTTTACGAACAATAGCTTGTTCTTTTGCTTTCCAAACAATAAATGTTTTTTTCAATTTATGTGTCAATATCTCTCTCTCTTTTTTTTTATTAGTAATTACCTAGTGGTTGATCAATGGTTTTAAATCCGCTCCAATTTGAAGCTTTAGAACTTGTCATATTAGATCATCGAGCCTTGAATCTTCATTCGCTATCTTTTGAATTCTCATCTAGGATTTTTCTATGAGATTTTATGAGCTTTAACTCGTCTTTACTGTAAATCTCTTGAATTGTTATAAACTGATTTCCTAAAAAAAAGAGATCTCAAGTTGGACTAACTATTTTATATATTTTTGATCAACGTTGGACTAATTAATATGTAATCAAATAGTATCCGACTCAACTTGGTAAAACCTTCCATCAAAATATTTGTTAACTTCCTTCTATATAAAATAGACAATCCTACTACTCTTCATCACTTAGCACAATCAAAATAAACAAGAAAAATCTTGCGATTTACAATTAGCAATGGAGAAAACGTCTCTCAAACTTGTCTTCTTGTTCTCCTTCACAGTCATAGCATTTTGTAAGCTTCTTCGTTGTTATATAATTTGTTTGGTTTGGTTTTGTATAAAAGTTTGTGGTGTTGTATATGTGAAGTTTCGTCTTTGGGTGATGCAAGAGAGATGGCGTAGGAAGACATGAATTGCATCGGCAGCAAATGTCCCGAAGGAAAGAAAAATTGTAACTACTTGTCGCAGGTAGCACCTATAATGGAGTCCACTGGTGTTTGCGAACATGACAATGACTGCAAGAAGTACTGTCCTCCGGAATGCAAGTCTAAAAAAAGAACCTGTGTGCGCGCCTGTAATGGTGGACACTGTTTCTGTCAGTGTTAGAGAGTTTCAAAAACCACTGTAATTTATACTTATAGAGGAAAAAACACTAGACAATTTCAAATCAATTTATTACTCCCCTTTGATAACATGTCTCTGCGCCCGCTCAATACATTTGGAATTTGATCCAATTTAAGTACTAAAAGGCCCTCAGAGAGGTTCAGGTATCAAACAATGTGTTAAACTTCCAAAACTTTTCTTAGATTTTCAGCAGC